CAGACACGGCCTCGGAGGTGCAGCGAACTCACAGCAGGGAGTGCGTTGTCGATTGGGTCCCTTGCGACAGACCTGTATTCAAGCGTTATCTGTATAGTTAGGACTTTTAAAAATTAAAGTAGAAACCAAATATCGCTCATCTGGCTAGAGCCCGTTGGTGTTTGCCGATGGACTCAAGTTCCCCTGACCCAGAGAAAGATGCCTGGGGGGGGGTGGGGGGGGGCAGCCAGAGGCTGACTGCTCCGTTCTCCCCATAGGGGCGCTCAGCCTGGGTCTCTGCCCCCAGAAGGGAGGCTCAGGGGTTGCCTGGCCTGCCCGAGCTGGGCTGGCCCCACTTCATGACTGGACCCTGGGGCCCTCCAGCCCAAACACGCAAGCCCCCAGGCAGTGGCCTGGCCACCTTTCCTGCTGGTTTGTCTTCTTCCCAGAAGCTGGGCGCTCCCTTTATCTCAGGCCAAAGTCCCCGGGGGAAGGGGATGGAATGTCACCTGGCTGGTGAGTCACCTCCTGCTGACTGGAGGCTGCAGCAGGCCTGATTTGCCCTTTTGCCCCCTCCCCAGGCTTCCCCTTTCAGGTGGGGAAGGATGAGTGTATCGCCCCCAGAATCATGACAGTGACAGCCACCGTTTCTGGGGTGCTGACCTGGAAGCAGGCTCTTGGGAGGTTAAGGACACAGCTCGGGACCCAGATCCCTGGGTTCAAATCCTGGCTCCAATGTGTCCTAACCTGGCGGCCCGGGGAAGTCAGCTGACCCCTTCCCGATCCCGCTCCTGCGTTTAGCAAACATTTTTTTTTTTGAGCAAGCACTCTGAACAGGACGTGAGGATGCTACGGGTGCTGCCACGGGCACCCCAGATACAGTCCAGCCCCGTGGGCCCGTGGGTGGAAACATTCAGCACAAACAATGATACTAATGTTAATAAAATGTAAAATGGGAAACTCCATGCCTCCCCTGGAGAAAAGGGCTAATGCAGGGGGCTTGTTCGTCTGAACAGGGTGGTCGAGGGAGCCCCTGGATGCATTCACGTCTGTGCGAAGCCCTGACGTTGGTGAGAGAGGAGCCAGGCCGTTACGTCTGGGAAGAGTCCCCGGCAGAGGGAGCAGCTCGTGCAAAGGCCCTGGGGCTGCCGTGTGCCTCGTGTGTTGCAGGACTGGGGAGCGGGCCAGGGTGGCTGCAGGGCAGTGGTCAGGGAGTGAAGATGGGGGCGACCACGCAGGGCCTGTGGGCGGGGTCAGGGCCTCGTCTCCTCCTCCGGGTAGCAGGGCGGCAGCCACTGGAAGGCGCTGAGCAGAGGAGAAGCGTGACCTGACTTCCCCCCGGGTCGGGAGAGACAGTTTGGAAGACACTGCCGTGATCCCAGCAAGCACGCGGTGACTCACGCCAGGGTGGGGCTTTGGGTGGGGGGAGCAGAGGGAGTGAAGTGACAGGACCTGGATGACTTCTTAAGTCTTATGGGTGAGCAAGAGAGGAGTCAGTGAGGACCCAAAGGCTTTCGGCCTAGGGCCCTGGGAACACAGAGGTGGCATTTTCCAAATGGAGGCTGCGGGGGGGTTGGGGGGTGCAGGCTCGTGCAGGGAGGAGGGTAAGAAGTTCAGATTCTCACCTGGGGGTCCGAGGAGCCGATGAGGCACGTCGAGCCGCCGAGGCTGGATGTTCGACCCTGAGTTCAGGTGCCACTCCTGGCAGACGTGTGTTACAAATTTTGAGTGCCGAGGTGCTGTTTAGAGACTTGGTGTTTTCATCCGTAAAAAGGAATTAAACAGCATCCACGTTGCAAGGCTGTCGTGAGGCTGGTGAAACACTGAGGCGCCACTCAGGTAGCGAAATGCAGGCAGATGTCAGCTGTGGTCGTGACGCACCTCACTCATCGTCATCTTCGGTTTTACGGGTACAGAGTGGGAGGGGCAGAGAGCGTGAGTGGCAGGTCCGTCCGTGGTCACCAACCAGCAAAGGGCACGGCCGGGATTCAAAGGCCAAGTGTAAAGTCTCGCCCTCCACGTCCCACCCGGCTGCTTGCACCCCCAGAGCCAGGCCCGTGGATCCTGAACTGACCAGCCTGGGGGGGCTCCCCGTGAGGCGGGAGGCGAGTGGGTGACTGGTAATGCCACCAGGGCAAAACGGACCTGCGCCTGCCCCCCGAGGGGCCCGTGGGCTAATGGGGGCAGTGTAGCCTTGGGGCCAGCTGAGCCCAAATTCGGCTCTGCCCCTCAAGACTCTGGAGGTCTCGTGCCTCAGTTTCCCCTGGTGTGAAAGGGGACAGCAGAGGCTGTTAGGAGGACTGCATGGGCTGCTGAGAACAGGGCCTGAGGGAACTCAGTGGACGCCAACCGCAGGCTGCTCCTCCACTGTCGCTCCGGCTCGTTTTCACCCCAGGGCCAGAGGCCCCCTGTCATCACGGTGTCTCTCTCCTCCCCCTGCTCGGGGCTCCTGTCCCGCCTCGGCCTCTGTGAACTCTGTGTCCTTGGGTCTGTCCCCCTGAGCCTGCGTTTCTGCCTGCCCCGCAGCGGGGACAGTGACCAGCAGACACGGGGCAGTCCCTGCACTTGGTCCTAAGTAGGCGCCGAGTGTGTGCGGGGTCCGCACCAGTCAGACCCGCAGACCTGGCTCAGCGAGCCATGGTGCATCCCGACAGCCGACCACAACTCGGCAACAAAAGGCACCGATGGCTGATGGTGGGTCTCGCAGGCGTTCCTCGGGGCGCAAGGAGCCGGGGGCCAAAGAGCCCACACTGTGGGCTTCCCTGCGTCTGAAACCGGAGGTGAGACGACTTCAGCACGCAGGTCCGTGGCTACCCGGGGGGGCATGGTCATGGGTGGGGAAGCCGGGTAAGGGTCCTTCATCGTAGAAATGTTTGTATCTCGTTGGAAGGGGCTGATTTTTCAGTGCCTCGGTCAGACTCACCAGGCCGGACCCGTAGAGGCCTGTGCGTTTTGCCGTATGGTCGCTATTTCCCGCTCGTTTTAAAAAGGAAAACACGTTGGCCGTTTCTGGTGACATACATGCATGATTATTTCTCCGACTGTTCCGTGGCTGCCACTGACTCCCTTTCCCCGACCCCTGGTCCTGTCAAAGCCTCCGTCACATGAGGGAGATGACCAGCCATCGCAGAAAGCGCCCCGGGCCCCGGGTGCAAGCCTGGCTCCGCCTCTTCCTTGCCGTCTGCCCCGGGCAGGTCATCCAAACCTCGGTTTCCTCATCTGTGACATGGGGCTCATGCTGGAGCCCCGCCCATGAGCTGGTTGCCAGGCTTCAGAGAGGTGGGAGGTACGAGGGCCAGGACTATCAGACACTCACAAGGACACCCAGACAAGCTGCAGGGGGTGGGCTTGATTAAGAGTGGGGGTCTGGAGCCAGATCTCCGGGGCCGAGTCCCGTTCCTTGGGCCGGTCCCCTGACCTCTCTGTGTGTCCGCTTTTCTGTGAAACCAGAGGCGATGGCTCCGGCCCACAGGGGTGTTTTGAAGATCACCAAGCTGAGTTAGGGCCGTGCTTGGCGCACAGCAGTCCCTGCCTTCGTCATTTCCAGGTATGGAAGGAAGGTGCTTGCAGCCTGGGGAGCCAATTCAGGGCGCCCGTTCCCCCGAACTGCAGCCCCAGCCTGCGTCACGAGGGTCCCTGTGGGTTTGGGGGCAGGCAGCCCAGCCACAGTGGACGTGGGTCATGGGGCCACCAGGCAAGTCCCGGGCTCCTGCAGCTGGGACCAATTGCTTCCTTCCTCTGTTCTGGGTGCCAGGCAGGCCCAGAAACCGCCGGGTGCCAGCAGGGCCGGCCTGCCCTCTGATGGGGAGGAAGTGGGCGGGTGCCCTGAGCACAGAGGAGCCAGGCAGACGTGCCCCGAGGTGGCACAGTCAGGGCTGATGTGGGCATCCTCACGCACTCGCCCGCTGCTTACGGAGCAGGCCCTCCCCGGCTTGCCCACGTCAAGCGGCCTTGAGGCTGCCTCAGGTCAGAGTGGAGATTCAGGGTGGACGGGGGGCGGGCAGGGCACGTGGTCTGTCCCTACTCCTCCAAACACCGCCGAAGGCTGGCACCCTGGGACCCAGCCTGTAGGAAGGGCGGGTGGCATGTGCCCCATGTGCATCCTTTGTATGCGTGTGTTTGGGGGTGACTGTGGGAACGAGTGAAAGCAGGGCTGTAAGGAGGCAAGCAAACATGTGTGCATGTGCGTGGTTGTGTGTGGGTGTGAGTGAGTAGGCATCAGTGTGCGCCAGGGTGCCTGGGTGGGGGCAGCGTCACACGGAGTGCACAAACTGGTTTGAGCCTGTGAGTGTGTGTCCGGGTGTGCGAATGACAAAATCAGTGTGTGTGTGTTTAACTGCGTGAGTGTATGAGTGTGTGCCCCTGGGTCTGAGGCTTGAGGCCAGGTGTGTCTGGTTGTGTGTTTGTGTGTGCATGCACTATCGTGAAAAGTCCCACAAGGGGCCCCTTTTGCATACAGAGCTCTGCTGCCTTGCACGGGGACGCTCGTGGACGGTGGGGGTCTGTGCATTTAGAACCTGAACTCAGGTGTGCAGGAGCTCCCAGGGAGGAGGGACGAGGTAAACGATCTTCAAACTGAGCACTGACCAATCAGAACAGGGGCCAGCCAGGCCGGCTCCTGTTACCCCAACTTCCCATGATCCCACCAGCATCCGAGAAGGTCTTGACCTGGGGACATTCTGAGGCAGCCCCAAACCCAACCAGCAAATAGCCTTTTTTACCAGTTGATAATAATAGCAAACATCCATTCCTGCATTCATTCATTCACTCATCCGCCCATTTTTGAAACGCCCATTTCCTGAGCTCCTACAACGTGCCAGACACGGCGTGCGGCACGAGAGATGCAGTAAAGAACGAAATGGACAAAGATCCCTCTGCTGGTGGCGTTGGCAAGCTGGTGGGACCAACAGACAACAAAGTAAGTGAACAGCAGATGTGGAGGGTTCACTGGTGCCTGGGCTGTAGATTTTTTAAAAAGCCGGAGCGGCAGACGGAGAGCACCAGGTGGGATTGCTGCTTTAAAGGCGTTGGTCAGCCGAGACGTCGGTGGGAAGGTGACATGTGAGTGAGGACCTGGCGGAGCGAGGCGGGAGCCCTGTGGCTATCCAGGGGGAGAGCGGTCCAGACAGAGGGCCTGGCGAGGGCAAAGGCCCTGGGGCCAGTGCCCGCCTGGCTTGTTCAGGGAAGAGGAAATGTGCTCCTGTGGACGCGATGTTGTGTGTGTGTGTGTGTGTGTGTTAACTGATAGAAAAGCAGAGGGTGCTCATGGGAAGATCAAATAATGGAGAAGGAATAAAGGAGAAACGGAAACCCCAGAGTAACGGGGAGGGGGCGGGGAGGCGGACTGAGGACCAGGGGTGTCTGTTGTACAGCTCACCCCATAATCAAAGCGAGTTTCCGTCTTGACAGGGCAGCATCAAAACAGTGCAGCTGCGGCCAGAGCTCCCAACCGCCGCGCGAGGCCGGCTTTACGGCTCTCCGCTGAGGCCTGAGCCCAGCTGGGTACTTAGTAGGTGCTTGCTGGAGGGAGTCTCTGCCTCACACATCCTCCCAGTCCCCCGAGGCCTGAGCGGGAGAGCAAAGGTGGGCGCGAGCCCCCTCAGTGTGGAGACTCAGCCCCCAGTCCCCGAAGGCCGCCTGCCCGGCCCCCCGGTGGCCCCACATGACAGCGTCACCTCTTCCTCCTCCTGCTTTTATGAGCTGAGAAGGAGGCTTGTCCCACGTTGCACAACTGCCCCTTAATTGCTATTTCCTCTCAGTTATGAATTGTGTCATGGATACGGCCGCTCACGTTATTAAGCTTCCACAGAGGCCTTATCGCCTGGACGCCAGCCAGCAACCCGGCCTGACCTACTTTCCCACCGGATTTCAAAACCGCCTCCCTCATCCTCTCGCTGGACTTTTCCTAAGGAGAGTCCTCTGTGCCCGAAAACTCGCCGCTAAAAATAAAAACTGGAACGAGGGGGGCGGGCACAGCTGGCCCCAGGAAGGCCTAAGACTGAGAGCGCCCCGTGATTGCGGCCAAGCTCCTCCCCCTCCCAGAAGTTTCCTCAGCAGCCTGTCCCCGGGACGGATGCAGGGTTCCCATCAGGACAGGCTGCGACACCAGGGTTCCCGGCTGACCGGGTCTGAGCCTCTCATTTCTCAATCACGGATAGAAGGACTGACTTCAGAGTCAGGCAAACCTGGGTTCAAATCCTGCCTTTGCCTCTGACCAGCTCATTCATTCATCCAGGGTATTTATTCTCCCCTGAATGTTGGCACTGTGCTGGGCACTGGGGACGTATCTGAGAACAAGGCAGATATAGTCCCCACCCTCATAGAACGTATACCCTAGTGGGCAGAGACGGGCACAAAACAAATCATTTTGGGATAAGAATAACGAAAGTAAATGAAAGTGAGGCAATGTGGCGGGCTGCACAGTGACAGGCACCATCAGCTAAGACAGTCAGGGGGGTCTCTCTGAGGATGGAGTCAATTCATCAGGACCCAAAGGATGAGAATCAGTTCCAGGGAGCAGGGTGGGCGCACGGGTGAGGCGAGCGAGTGAGCCGGGCTACAGAATGTGCGGGGGCACTTGGTCTCAGCCCCGCTCAGTTGTAGCCTGGCGCTGGAGAGTGAGTACCTCCTCAGCGTTTTCATCCTGGGCCTCTCTCGCTTGCCTCAGCCTCATCCTGGAGCTGCAGCGAGGGAAGCGAGTCCACAGAGGAGCACAGCCAGTGCAGAGGCCCTGGGGGTGGGGGCGAGCCCGGTGTGGGGGAGCAGAGAGACCCCGGAGGAGTGGGGAGCGGGGATGACGGTAGGGAGATGCTGAGTGCAGATCACGAGGGCCTTGCGGGCCAGGCGTGGCGAGAGCTCGGTGGGAGACGGAGAAAGACAGCTGCGCCTTGAACTGCGTGGGTTTGAACTGCGTGGGTTTGAACTGCGTGGGTCCACTCATGCACGGTTTCTTTCAATAAATACTTACAGCACTGCAAGGGTGTCTTCCCTTCCTTATGATTTTCTTAATACCATTTCTTTTCTCTAGCTTACTGTACTGTAAGGAGAAGTCTGTGATACATGTAACATACAAGATACATGCTAATAGCCTGTTAATGTTGTCAGCAAGGCATGTGGTGATGAAGTTTTCAGAGTCAAAAGCTCCACTTGGACTTTTGACTGTGCAGAGGGCCGGCACCCCTCACTCCTGCGTCGTTCAAGGGCAACTGTATTTTGAAGGTCGAGCCCACAGTACCGGAGGGTGAACTGGTGATTGCAGGGGAGGTGGAAGGAACCAGAACCGACTCCTGGGCCGGAGGGACGGTGGCGGTTCCTTGACGGAGCTACAGGAGGCTGACCAGCACGTGCTCTGTCTCCCGGGGTCACTTTTCCTCACCTCAGCCCCGTCTGCCCAAACACCGTATCATCCTCAGCTAAGAGCCTGGTGCGTAGTGAACGCTCCTCTGACGATCCATCCGCACCGAGGGGTTTACCTGCGGTCCTCCGGCGAGTGAATGGCCCGGCCTGACCTGGAACCCAGGCCCTGCGCTCCCGGATGCGCCGCAGCGGGCAGGCCCGGGCCGGCGCGTGACTGCGCAGAAATGCGGCCTCCCGGCCAGCGGGCCTCGGCAGCGGAGGCCGACTCCTCTTCTGCCCGAGCCGGGCTTGCGCACGGGGCTGTTTATCTGACTTGGCTGAAGTTTGAGTCCTGGGCCTGTAAACACAGCCTTCTGATTATTACACAAACGGGACATGCTCGCGGGATAAAAATTTGAGAACGGAAATAGGCAAAAACAGACAAACAAACAAACAAACAAACAGGGCCTACAAGCGGAGGGAGACGGGGTGGGGGTGGGGGCACAAGCCCAGCGTCTAAATGAACACATGGGCCCCGCGGTACAGGCGGAAGGACCTTGACCGCACGGTTCTTCCGGCAGAAGATGGGAAGCAACCCGAGCATCCGAGAACGGGGGCCTTTCTTGCCGAGTAGAGGGAGTGTGTCCCAATATCATGCAGCCGCTGAGGCGAGTCCGAGAGCTGGACGTGGAAAAACCGCCGAGATGTCATGTTATGTTATCAACAAGGCCTGCTGAGAAAAACAAGATGCCAAACAGAGATTATAGAATGCTACCGTGTGTGTGTGTGTGTGTGTGTGTGTGTGTGTGTGTGTGTGTTAGGAGGAAAGGGGGATCCGTGAGCGTATTTGCCGAGAGGCACACAGATCATCTCTGAGGGAGACACGAGGCCCTGGTGGCAGTGGGGCTGCTGGGCAGAGGGGTCACGGGTCCAAAAATGCAGAAACCCTCTGGGACCGATGGCGAGCCAGACATGGGAGGGAGGTAACTCTTCTGTTCTGGTCCTTCTGCGTAGTTGGAAAGCATTTGTTTTGGTTTTGTTTTGGTTCTGTCTTCTGAGAAACATTGTAATGATGTTTGAGACTCCCCTCTCCGTCTCAGAGTTCTTTCCAAAAGGCTGGGGATAGTCTAAGCTGGCGTTTCCGAAAAGCCCGCCCGCACGCCCGGGATTGCAGCGAGGGGCCTGCGGGCCGTGGGGCCGTGGGGCCAGGGAGGAAGAAACTGCGGGCCCTGCTGACCCGCCACTCCGAGCAGTTCCTCTTTTATCTTCTTTTATAGGTTGGATAACAAGTAAAGGTTCGGCTGTAAAAGGGTTTTGCCTACTTTGAAATGAGATGTTTGAAAAAGCTTTGATCTCGAATAATCTCATTCTACTGATGAGAAGACAGGGGCCCAGAAAGGAGGGACGGGGGGTGGGGGGAGGTGGTCCCAGACCCAGGCAGACCTGCCTCTGGCTGAGTGCCTTATGTGGTAAGTTTTCCTCCTCAAACTGTAGCTTCCTCCTTCCAAAACAGAAAGACAAACAAACAAACAACCAGGTGAGCCAGACTCCTCGGAGATATCTGATGGGGAAGTGGACCCTGGGTTCTCAGTCTTTTTGGTCTTGGCAGAAACATGCTCGGGCCATCAGACTGCTTCTGTTTCGCCATCCAATTTTCTAAGAAAGGCAAGAATGACCTCCTGCCCCCTATTTCACTCAAGTCCAAGATCAGGCATATCTCCGTTCACCAGAAGTCAACTCACTGCAAAACTCAGGTATTCGTTAGGCTGCGTTCAAGGGCAAGCACAGGAACACCCAAGGCAAAAGGCTTCATCATTAAGGTACTGCATCTTCTTATATGTTCAAAAGTGCAGAGACCCTCTGGGACCATTGGGCATGCATTCAGCTGCAAGTAACACAAAAGCCTGCCCATTGGGAGGTTCACACTGTCTCCTGCTGCTAGAAATCCAGGCATCTGGAGCCAATAGGACAGTGGCTCTGCGATGCCCCCCAGGGCCCAGGTTCTTACCCACTTTTTGCTCAGCCATCATGAACACATGGCTTTTGTCCTCAGGGTCGGTCGGTCACGGTTGCAAGATGGCCACTTTGCTGCCAGCTGCTACCCAGGTTACGAGCCGGAAGAAGAGGCAAGAGGCGAGCAGCATGTCCACCCTGCCTGTCTGTTTTCAAAAAAGCTTTTCCGAGAGTCCCACTTGGCAAACTTGGCTTCGTTTTCATTGGTTAGGCCTGGGTCACATGACCCCTCCTAGCTGTGAGGGAGTCGAAGAGAGTGCGTGCGTTGAGGTGGCCCATTGCCATCCCAGATAAAACCAGGGTTCTGTAAACACACACAAAAGAGACTGTAGGTATTGAGCTGGCACTGAGCAGTGTCTTCCACAAGGAGTTCAAGGGCTGTTAAGACAGTGACTCAGAGACACCAGCAAGGACATGTTTTTCCTCCTTCTCTACCATGACCGGTATGTAGGCTTCTGTCCTGAGACCTGACCTGCCTCCTCAGGCAGGGGAAGGGGCCCCTCCCCCGGAGCACATAGACGGATGCCCCTCAGATAACAGAGGGTTCTCTCAGCCAGGGAGAAGGGTTGACAGTGGCTGTGGTTTGGGCCACCGACAGTGTGTACCACACCCCTATGAACCAGAATGTTTTTACTTCATCCTCTTCCCTCCTGAGCTCGCTATCATCTCATTTCAAATCTCATCACATGCAGCAGTCAGCTCTGGGTGCAGTATGCTGCATAACAAAATATCCCAAACCTTTCACTCATTTGCTGTTGTCATTGGACCTAAGTTCCTGAGGACTTTTGTGTTTCTCAGGTTCCTGGACACATGTCAGGCAGTGACAAAGAGCTATGGAGAAAAACAAAGCAGGGTAAGGGCAGAGTTGTTCTGGGAAAGAGACGCCATTCCGGTGGGATCAGGGATGGCTTCTCTGACTAGAAGCTACTGCAGTGAAGGAAGTAAGGGAGCAGCAAGTGCAAAGGCCTGAGACAAAAGGGGCTTGGTGGAGGCCGGTGCAAGGAGCGGGACAGGCGAAGGAAGGAAGGCCGAGGAGAAAAGGGAAGCACTGGGGAGGGAGCGGCCTGTTAGGCCACAGGAAGGACTTGACTCTGACCCTGAGTGCAGTGGGAGCCACGAGAGGGTTTGAGCAGTGGAGGGAGGTGACCTTACTGAGGTTGCCACAGGGTCCCTCCGAATGCACGTGGAGAACAGTCTGCACCAGCCAGGGCGGAAGCAGGAAGCAGGGTTCTGCAGGCCTCATACACCGAGGTCAAAGAGAGGATTCAGGTGTCGCAGTGACATTCTCAGAAAGCCCGGGAAGGCCAAACAGGATTTTCAGGTTGCTTCAGATCTGCCAGAAGGCGGACAGTGCCAGCATGCTCCATTCCCAGGCCTCCCGGGCCCCCCGCCTTTTCTGTGGCATCCTCGGGCCACATTGAGGCTGCGGTTCTGGTGTTGGGGCCAGTCACCCCTCTGCGTGCTGCCTGGCTGTTCTGGACAGCACCGGGTAAGGTGTGAGGGCTCGGCAGGCACAGTGCGGCCCAGGTGACGGCGACCGAGCTTGCACCCAAGATGCTGCTGACGACCATGAACCCGAGAACAAACACAATTCCTCTGCTGCAAAAGTAGGCGCTGCGTCCTCACACACCGTGTCCCCGGCACCCGGCTCCCTTATCTCACCACGCAATCCTGCAGAGAGTAACGCAGTGTATTTGTGTCTGTGGTTTTGGTTCCTAAAACCTATGACATCAGATAAGTGCAATATTCACAAAAATGAAAAACATCACCGAGAGGAGAAAAAAAAAAAAACAACCGAAAAGAAGCCCCGGGTTTCGGCCTCAATTTCCTTCCCCAGAGGAAGAGGCGCTGGGTGCTTGAGGTTTCAGGGCGCGGAGGCTGGGGGCTGGGGAATCCCGTGCTGCCCTGGCCCTCTCCTGAGCCAGCTCACTCTCAGGGAGTGTAAAACCCTCCCTGCCGCACGGAAATGGTGATCGCCGCCTCCCTGGGCTGCCCCTGCACAGCGACTCGATAAAAACACCAGTAATGGCTAATCTTTGGACCATGCATGGCCCCCAGGCCATCTGCTTGGGGCGACCTTCACCCTCTGGAGGAGCAGCGAGGACCTTCCCGGGTTTACGGGCGGGAACACGGAGGCTTCCAGTAGGAAGAGAAGGTGGTTGCGAAACACCACGTGGCCACCTTTGTTGTTTAGAAAATACAAACATGTAACACGGAAATTAACGAAACAAACATAGGAAGATAAAAAGTGGGCAACAAGGTCTGGCAGGACGTATGCTCCCATGTCACCGCGATTGTCCTGGGTGTCACGGCTGCCACCAAAGGCAGTGATCCCACGGCCGCCCCTCACCCATCGTCATCATTCAGGTCTCTTAGCCGGACGCCGCCTGTGCAGAGAGGCTGTCTCCCAGCCCCCACCTGCGGGGCTCTTCCAGCCCCTCTCCCTCCCATCGCTTAGCTCATCTCCTGGTTCGCTGACCATTCCCAGGATGCACCTCGGTTTCTCGTCAGTTTCTGGGTTTCTCGCCTGCCCGTGCTCCCCACGAGCGGGCGTGGGAGCCTGTCCCCTGTACCCCGCCCTCAGCAGCGCCCTGAGCGGCGCCTGGCACAAGTGGACCTCGATAGATACAACTTGACGACGGACTGTGTTTTCTTCTTATTTGTTTTAATTTTACTTAAAAAAAAATATGGGTTCTTTTCCATTGTTGCTTTAAAGTGGGGATGAGAAATGAGCCGCCGGGAGCCTCCCTAGGATGCCGGCGCCTCCGAGGAGGGTAACCCTGCCTGCCCCAGAGCGGGCCAAGCGGCCAACAGCCCGGGGCTCCTCAGCCCGGCCTGCCTGCCTTCCCGGGCCCGGAGATCTCCCCGCCTGGGACAGAGTTATCTTTGAATGACACAGTGTCCGGTCTTCCCCTCCGGGCGAGGCCGCCCTGAATCTCAGGGGCCACCGGGGAGCGCCAGGGCCAAACGCAGCCCACGGGAGGTTGTTCCTTGGCCCATGCAGTTCCAACAGTTCGGGATTTCATCATCACTTAAAAATCAAGCGACTTTGGAAGAAATAGACAATGGCTTCCTGATGGGCACGGCATCAGATGAGAATAAATGAAGGGGAAGCCTTCGCATCTTTAATGTGACAATGCCGCCAACATATAAACGTCGTGTAATTTCAAGTAGCGACCTGCCGGACTTTTTAATTGGATAAAGTAATCCTGGGTGGACAAGAAAAGTATGCCACAGAAAAGCACCGGAAAGGATGGCGGAGAGGGTATTTTGACTCACTGGGAAAATGGAATATTTAGTCCAGGAGACCAGCATAGAGCACTGTCAATTTATTTTATTTATCACTAAAATAAAAATAGACTCCTGTCTTCCACCATGTGTTAAAAAAAACCCCAGAGAATTCACATAAAACATCTAGATTTCTAGCTTGCCTAAAAACTCTGGCAACAGTGGGCTCTCGTTTTCCAAGGCAGCCATGGGCCGGTGCTGAGTTGAAACTCAGGGATGTTCCGACTTGCCACAGTCCTCACCACTCCCTACTGCCTCCCACTCAACTGCCTTCATTCGTGTGTCCTGCCTGGGCACTGAATTCACTGGAGTTGAGAGCCCCTGAACTCAGGGCACATTTGAAGTTACATTTCTGCTGTTAGCCGCCTTGGCTCTAATTTTATTTTTCTTGGTGGAGACACAATTCTGGGGGAAGGATGTGGCTTGAGGAATGGTTACCAGCCTGGACCTGGGAGTCCAAGGGCCTTGAGCGCTTTCTGAACAGTGAGATCCCCTCCCAGTGCTGCAGCCTCTTCCTCTGCCAGTGGGACTAATAAGAGCTGTCACTCCTCACTTGCCACCATTCCCATGAAATGCACGCCCCAGGGCTCTGAGCAGAGTTACACCAGGAAACAGTGGCGGTGGCATGAGGATGACAAAAACCGCTCCCTTCAGAATTTAGTGTTTTCAGTTGTCAGGCTTCTGGGGGAGAAAAGGAAAGGAGGAAGAGAAACAGGGAGGAGGTGGGCCGAGCAGAGACTTTGTTTTGATCTCCTTTTGCCAAAAAGGAGGAAAAGAGTAAACAAACAGCCTTGGCCGCCTTTGATTCCACTGCCAGCCTCTGGAGCTGATAAGAACCAGCCAAATCGGAGTTGGGCAACTCTGTTCCCTGGGCGTGTGGAATCTGGGACCCCAGAGCCTGCACCCTGCCCGGAACGTCCACCCTTCTTCCCCCTTCTTGCCTTTTCCTAGGAGACTTGGCAGAGGGGAAGATGGGAGGACACCCCCACCCCTGTCACCGTGGGACCCCACGTGAGCCATGAGAAATGGGTCTTGGAAGGGGACCTCTGGCACATGAACAGCTCAGCCCCCTGTCCCGGGAAGGAGCCCCCTAACGGGCACTGAAGGGGAAGTGTAACCCTCAGGCATTTGCCCTGGCAGTGAACTGGGCGGAAGGAGGCAAAGCTGCTGGAGAAGAACAGAAGTGCCTCCCCGCCCAGCAGCTGGTGGAGAGAAGGCACATGACCCAGGGGTTCACAGGCTGCCTCTGCATCCACCCTGTTTACAGTGCCGTGACCTCGGGCAAGTGACTTCTCCCACTCAACCTCGGGTTCCGAATCTGCCTTGAGGGATTGTTTAGGGTTCAGCGTGCTAGTGCCCATCAAGTGCCTGGCGCATAGTAGGTCCAATCACTGGATGCTATTGTTGTAAAATGGCTTAGGGAATCTCAGGACAGCCGCAGGGAGAGAGACCGAAAAATGCCCGGACCTCAGGTCCAGAGAGATGACAAAGGACAGTCATTGGCAATCTCTAAAGGCACCTGCCAAGGACCACACGGTCCAAGAAGTCAGGAGCCGGGCCTGCTTGAGTGGGAAGGGGCAAGCTCTGGACAGAGTCTAGCACAAACGGGGGACATGTCCTCCGTGATACTTCTGGGGACAGCTTCCCTGGGGACTGACACGTAGCTGAAAGCTGAGGCCCAGGGGCTGAGACCTTGTTCTCTGGGGCCACAGGGTCTTTTCCAGCTCTGCCCTTCCCAGCTCTGTGGCTCTGTGACCAGAGCAGGGGTTAGCACCGCGGGCCCCAGAGTGCGGCCTGAGACTTGGTGATCACGGCTTCCTCCACCCCCACCCCACCCCCTGTCCCAGGTGTGATTCTAGGGGTCCGGGCTCCTGGTACACAGCTGTACCCGTAGGTGTGTTTGCTCCACACGCCATTTCCGGCAGAGCCAACTCTGTGCTGGGCACAGCGTGCCAGAGAAAATGCAGACCCCTCCCCTGCCCCCGAGATCCCGAGGACAGACAGGTGTACAACTCTCACGGCCCAGCAGAGGCGGCAGGACCTGGGGTGGGGGGAGGTCAGGGGAGGCTCCCTGAGGAGGCGTGTGCAAGGAGGGGCCCGAGGAAGCATCGGCGTAATAACCAGACTGGGCAGATGCTCCAAGTGGGGGACAGCCCCCCAGGGAGGGCCCTTGATAACTGGACGTGGCCACCTGTGCTGGAATTCTGGGGGAAGAGCTTGACCCTCACTGTCCGTGTGACCTTGGGCAGCCCGCACCACCTTTCTGGGTTATCATATTGGTGGTATCTTCTATAAAATGGGAATAGTGACAGTCCCCGTCTCCTAGGGTTGTCTTGGGGATTAGGGCATGCAGAGGCCAGTGCTGGGCGTGGGGGAGGGCTTAGGAGAGTGAGTCGGCATTGTTGCCATGGTTATTACAAACACGCAGCGTTGAGCCGCCCAACCTGCTCACCTCTTCCCCTCCAATCAGCTCCTTAGATGGAGAAGCCCTGGAGCCCCCACCCCCGTGGTCATGGGGGACACCCGGGGGGGTGCAGTGAAGAGCTGCTGCCTGCCAGGATGTTGCACTAAGAGGCAGGTGCTTCCAGCGCCCCTGTCCCCAGGTTTCCCAGCTTGGCTTTCCGAAGCCTGGCTGTGCCCCCTGCAGGCCCCTCCTTACACACACATTATAGGGATGTCATCATACACCCAATGCATGTGTGTATAACATTCGTTTTCCTTTCCCTTGACTCACTTTAACTTTCTCTCCCATTGGTGAGTCATGCTGGAGCCTCAAGTTTCTCTCTTTCAAATGCCCGTGAAGACGATGAGAATTTTTAAGCGTTTTTGAGCACTCACGACATGCCTGGAATTTCCATTCATCCATTCATTCATTCACTCAACAAACAGTGGCTGAGCACCTCCCCTGTGCCTTGGAGCTCATCCATGAACCACAGAAAAAGGCCCCTGCCCTGGTGGGGCTCACAGCGCAGGGGCAAGGGTGGGGGAGGGGCAGGCGCACACACCTGCAGAGTCCATAAACAAGGTGTGCCCAAACTCCCTACCTCAACAACCCCAGAAAAGAAGCATCCCCATTTTCCAGGTGAGAAAAACCAAGATGTGGAGAGAGGAAGTGACTTGCCCAAAGTCATGCAGCTAGGAAATGGCCAAGGTGGGATTTGAACCCACACCTGTCATACTCCGGCGCCCAAGCCCTGACCCTCCTGAGGAGGTTGTCTGCTAAGACAAAGGGCCCTGTTCCACCTAGGGGCATCTTCTGCACCAGCAGCATGTTCGGGGAGCTCCGCACGGCCCCAGGTGGGGGCCATTGTTGTGTGGGGGCCCAGCTCATGCCCACAGGTCCTCAGACAGGAGGAGTTCTGCCCACCCTCCCGGCAGCCTTCAATGGACAAGGCCAAGTACACGGTTACTCTCTGGCCAGAGCCAGTGGGAACAGGACGTCCTGGTCCTGCTGCCCTGGACCGGCCCAATGAGCTATTTTGGGGCACGTTTATTGATGGGACATGAGTGTCTGCTAGACTCCTGATTGCAGAGGGAGGCCCGAGGCTGGCCTGGGATGGCCGCCCCAGGCCCTTCGCTGCCCGGGGCAGCCGCCATCCGCATCCTGTCCCCACCCCAGGCCAAGGGTGCAGCCTGAGCTGACTGGCTCCGGGAGAGGAAGGGGGCCCCCACTGGTGTGGACAGATGCTGGGGGTCACGTGGGCTACTGTTTCCCGAAATGCTGGAGCCGATTCGGTTCACAGGAGGCAGAATCCAGAATGCAAGACCAGGGTTTGTATTCCGGAGGCGAGACGCAGCTGGGTTCCCTACGAGGGATTTTACCGTGGGCAAGCCAGGAGGGCTCTCGGGGACCCAGTGTCCTGTCTGTAAGCTGGAGCTACCAGTGATAACCCTCACTCCCAGGGCAAGTGTGAGGCTTAAATAAGACGGTGCATTGAAGTCTGGCATGTAGTACGTGCTCAATAATTCATACCTTTGTACATAATCGTTGACAGCTGACATTTACTAGGAGTATAGCATGAGGTAGGCACTGGGCTAAGGTACTGATCTGTTTTCTCTCCTTCTGTCCCAACAATCCCAGGAGGCAGCGCGTGGCACCATTGCAGATGCTGTCACTGTCCCTTTGTGCAGAGAAGGAAACGGGCTCGGAGAGATACCTGACTTTCCCAAGCTCGCACTGCAAGCGTACGGCAGAAAAACACGCCTTTGAACTCAGGCCACAAGAGGGAACAGGGCCAGCCCAAGTCCAAGGGCCAGGGCCCATGTCCCCCTAAACTATTCTTAGAGGATGGTCACTCAGGTCCCACCCAAGTGCCTGCCATGCTGTTCAACTTGGTCATCCCTGAGTTCTGGGAAGTGACTTCCTGGCCCTTCCATGTGGCAGGCATCCAGAAACAAAGGTCCCAGAACCTTCCTCTGACCATCCTCCCTTCCTCGGGGTTATTTTGTTTTTCCTGGTTCATGGGCAAAAAATCTCCAAGAAAGTGGCTGGGTCGGCAAAGGTTCCAGGCTGGCCAGGAGAGGCGTGTTGCTGTGTACGCTGGGGGCTGGGGGCAGAGTGCTGGGGACCTGCTGGGGAGGGGAGGGCAAGGGGCTCCCACGCCTGTGTCACCTAAACCCCGCACCTCCCCAAGGTGCTCGTTGTGGCTGCACCTGCTTCCGAGTCACCCCCGTTGCTTCCTCCGCTGGCCTTGGGAAGATCTTCCCTTCTGCCTTTGCAGCCTGCAGCCGTACCTCCCAGTCCCCCCTCCCCCGACCCTCCCCTCGCAGCATCCTCCAGAAAGGCTGTGCTCTCCTCACTTGGAGACCTTTGCCCCTGCTGTCCCCTCCCCCGGGATGCTATTCCTCCGATCTCCACCTGCCAGATGCTTCTCCTCACACTTGCGATCCTCCTTCACAGGGAGGACTTCCCAGAACACCCGCCTGAGCTCCCCAACAGCATTTGCCCCCTGGCTTGGGGTTGCCATAGCAACAGGAAGACACGGTGCTCTAGACGCAGGTGCCCAACTATCAAGGTGGCACCTCCATCTGAGTGTCACAAAACGGAACCTCCCGCTGCCCCTCCTGAAATCACACTGCCCTCTCGTCTTCTCGCCTCAGGAATGGTGCCACCCCCCACCCAGGGGCTCAGGCCCGAACCTAGGAGGTGCACTGGGGTCATGGTCCCTCGCCCCGTACGGCCTGTCCATCAGAAGTCCTGTCGGCTTGATGGCAAAATACATCTCAAACCCGTGTTCTCATTGCCACCTTTCACCCGCCGTCACGGTGCAGGAGGCCACCACCCCACTGCCTGGGCCCTGGCACCCGTCTCCTCCCTGGTCTCTCGGCTTCCGGCTTTGCTCCACCCCACCCACCACGGTCGGAGGAAACCTTCTCAAAGACTAGAAAATAAAACCATGTCACAGCCCTGCTCGAAACCCTCTAGGACTCCCCATTCGCCTTACAACAAAATTCCTCCTCCTCCAATGTGGCCTCTAAGACCTTGTGTGATCTGACCTTCGCCCACCTCCTTAACCTCATCTCTGCCCTCTTCCCTCCTGGGCCTGAACCAGCAAGCTCTTTCCGGCCCCTAGGCAGACACTTGCCGTTCCCTTCCCCCGAGCCTTCTTCCGCCCGATAGCTGTCCGGCTCACTCTCTCACTTCATTCAGCTCTTTGCTCAAATATCAGCTCCTCAGAGCAGACGCCCACGGCCTGCCTGTCCGAAACGCTCTCCTCCAGCACCCCCTGTCTCTCTACGTACTTGATTCCCCTTTGTCGAGTTGTGTCTGTCAGACTATTACATCTTATCAGTACCCGTGCTCGCTGCGGGAGTGTTTAACCGCCGGCCCCCGGCAAGGGGGGAGCCGCGAGGTTTGCACTCGCCAGTTTCTGCGGTGTAAATATTCCCACCAAGGCCGACGGCGAGCCGTCAGCGTGACTCCCTGAACGTGGAGCGGGGAAGCGATGGGCGGGCCTGGACTATTTTCACCTTGGAATATGGTTTGTGCCACAATATGGTACAGCAGACGTCAATGACCTCAAGAACATAGAAAACAGTAAAATAGAAAGTGATGTTTTGAGTAGTTGTTCCCTTTATTTTTATTGTAGTTAATTTCATTGTAAGTTCATGGCATGGACTTTCTGGGGAGGGCGGTGAGGACCCGTGAGCCAGAGGGAGCCGGCTCCGGCACGCCCCGGGGTCCAGGCCGCAGGGAGACGGGGACAGTGTCCACGCTGTTCCCTGCTGTTTCCCCGGGGTAGCGGGAGGGGACCACAGTAGGTGCTCAGCCTGTATTTGTCGAGCATGTTGTAATGCATCTGTTTGCCTCAGAAAGCACAAACTGTTCGCCTCCATCACCTTGACTTTGTGGGCTGAATCCAACCCACAAATGGGTTTCGTTTGGCTCTCAGAATGTTTTTAACATTTTAAAAAAAATTCGCTGCCAAAATTGAAAAGTCAAGAGATTTTTGCATGAAATTCCACATAAACCTAGATTCTCGGCCTCTCTTGCAAAGCCAGACGCTCTGGGCACACTGGGCCTGAGTCCCTCGTGATGACAGAGGTCAGGGCTGAGGGGCAGTCACCCCCTTCCCACAGGGCGTGCGCTTGCCCCAGTTTGCCGCAGTCCACACCCCTCCCTGTAGCCACACTTGGGGCCTCTTCATTCATTTACATAACCCGCTGGGCCCTGTAGGTATTTGCATGGTCATTGCCATCTCGGCCTCCATTTTAACACTTGCCATGGTGCTCCCCCTGCCCCCCAAGAGTCAGACCACCTGGAGCACGGGCTCTGCGAGTTAGGCCACCTGGGGCCTCCATTCCTTCTCTAGGGCCCTGCACACAGTAGGTCCACAGGCCCTGGAATTCGCTGAAATGTTTGTTGTTGAACGGACGTCAACCCCCCTAACTGGGGCATGCACTCGGTCCAAACCCCGACCGGCCGGAATGTGACAAAGAGGTTGACCAAGGCCAGGGTTTAAAAATACCCCGGGGCTGGTCAGCTGCGCACACTCGGAGGTGTTGAAACCCGCGGGCGAAGTCTGGCCGGGGGCCAGCCCCCCGACTTTTCCCTGTGTGAATATGGGCCACCAACAGTTCCCGGTGGGGGCCAGGAGGCCGGGCCGCAGCCCCTCCCGCACCGCCCTGCCTGGGAAAGGTCAGCACTGAGTTTATAAACAGCATCGGGTGACACAACGTATTTTCGCATAAAGGGTTACCAGGCAGAGCGTGGACACAGGGCGGCCTCCCCTGGTGTTCTCACGCCGCGGTCAGCGGGCATCTCGATCCGGGATGTTGCTCCGCTGGTGGTCTTCCTACACGGCCTTCAGAGCCGCTGTCCAGTCCGCTGGAGCCACGGTTAAAAATAAGGCGCACGGCACTGTCCCCTGGGGGCCAGCCAGCCGGGGGGGGGGGGCCGGCCAGGGGAGGAGCGAGCCCCGCCTGGGCGCCGACGGAGTGCCAGGCGCTTCAGAGGCATTAGCTCAGTGTGCCTGGGGAGGGAGGGGCCATCACCCCACTTACAGGGTGGGGAGACTGAGGCCAGGGAGTGCTGCCACTCACTGGGTCCAAGTTTCTTGGGAAGTTCATGGCCGCGCTGGCATTTAAGTCCACGAGGCCCAAGGGCGGGGAAGTCAGGGGCTCAGCGCTCCACCCCGCTGGGCCCCAAGCCCCTGCAGCCGTGTCCGGGTCTAGGCCGGGTCTCGGCAACAGCACCCGCCCAGCCCGTCCAAACCCTGCTCCTCCCCCTGGCTTCCCAGCGGGAAGTCTCCTGGAGCTGACGTTTGGGAGCTGGGGGCGGGGAGGCCGACAAACACGAAGAGGTAAATTAAATATATTGTGTTTCAGACGGCAGCGAGTCCCGCGGAGGCAAATACACCGGAAGGCAGATGGAGCGTCTCAGAGAGGCACCGGCCTGAGCGCGGAGCCAGGGGAGACCTTGTCGAGCAAATATTTGAGGACAGACTGAAAGGCCGGAGGGATTGAGCAATGAGGGTCGCTGGGGGAAGAGCGTTCCTGGCGGAGGGAACTCCAAGTGCGAGGGCCCTGAGGCTGGATTCCGCCTGGCCTGCGCGAGGGTGGCGAGGGTGGCGCGGGGGCCGGCAGTGCTGGGCTGGGCTGGGCAGCAGGAGCGAGGGGCAGCCTGGGAGGAGGCGAGGGTGCAGAGGAGGTGGGTCGGCCCGCAGAGCCTCGCACACCATTGGGAGGAGCCGGGCTGTTGTCTGGTGGAGGTGGGAGCCACGGAAGGTCCTGAACAGGGGAAGGCGCGGTCTGGTCTAGGCTCTGAAAGAGTCCACCTGGCCGTGTGTGGAAAGTGGGCTGTCGGGAGCGAAGAGGGAAGGGGGACAAGCAGCGAGGAGGTGCCTGCAGTGGTCCAGGCAAAGGACCGTGGTGACGGGGCCCAGGCGGTGGCCATGGAGGTGGGAGGTGGGGAGAAGTCCGTGAGCTCATGCTCTGCACCTGTCTCGAAGGGGGAGCTGGCAGGACACACTGCGGGACCACATGTGGGTGGCTCTGGGCTCCAGGAGGACCAACCGGAAGGAGGGAGCTTCCACCTCTGGGAGCTGCCCCGGCACGGTGCCGGCTCCCACCGGAGGGCGGCTGTGGAGCAGTCCTTCCCCGGCTCCATGGGGGACCTTCCCCAGTACGGTGGGCCTGGCTTTCTGAAATCCCCCGCCCTGGTGCAGATCGGGGTTTCTCCCCAGGCCCCCCGCTTCATCCTTGGCCCTGAGTCCCTGGTAAATTGTGCAGAAGCCACCAGCTCCTCTCTCCCCAGGGCCTGAAGACCGGCAGACACTTCTGCAGCCCTCACTGTGTGCCTGGCGGGGGCCTCACCTTGGCCTGTGTGAGCTCGTCTGACCACCACACTTCCAAATAAGGGAGCTACTATTACATCTGTCTCATGAATGATGGGAACACTAAGGCCCAGAGAGGTTAAGTCACTTGTCTGGGGTCACACAGCTAGCAAGTGCCAAAGGCAGGATTTGATCCCAGGCAGTCAAGCCCAGGGCTCATGCTCGTAACTGATGCACTGTCTCCTGAGCAGCTCACCAGTGACTGTGAGGGGCCAAAGCCCTGGGCTTGAGGGATTCAGGTGGAGGGAGAGGGCTCACACAGTAGGGACAGTGGGCATTTTCTGAACACCTTCCCCTTGCCCAGGGCTGTACCACGCTCTCTCCCTTCTGCCCATCAATGGAAGGGGTGGATCTGACCATGACTGCACCCATTCTGCAGACGAGGAAACTGAGGCTCAGAGAAAAGTGCTCAAGTCTCAAGTCACACAGCCAGGCATGAGAACCCAGGGTCGTGGGGCTCTGGATGTCATTCCGTCCCTTCTTCCTCACTGCCTGTGCTCGTCACCTGCTTCTTGCCTCGGCAGTGAGTTTGGTGGCCAAGACGAGTGGTCTTCCTACCAACTGGCTGGCACAGGGTAAGGAAGCGGGCTGTGGGTGGAAGAGGTAACTTAGGAACAGGCAGCTCTTTGGGCTTGTGGACTCTGCCCAGTACAAGCTACACTGCTGAGGCCGGCTCTGGGGCAGATGCTGGGATACTGAGGCAGCTGAGCGTGTGAGAGAGTGGGGGTTCCGGATGCATCTGACGGCACAGGAACACGGGTGGCATTGTCATCGGACTTCAGGTCAAGAGCGGCTCAGAGCGTGAGGTGCTCCCGACCCTCTGCCTTGGGCAGCCTCCCCAAACCCCAGTCTCCACCTCTGTGAAATGGGTCAATGCTGCCTGAATCAGAAGGCTGTTGTCACAGCCAGAACTGAGGGCCAAAGGGGCCCCCGCCATCTTCAACTGCTCGGTGCTGTCTTCCAGGGCAGGAAGAGCCCAGGACCCAGCGTGTCACAGGTGTGCTGGGGACCCAGAGCCTGCGGGACACATGAAAAAAAAACGAATGAACTTCTTTCGGACCATTTTCTTCCCCTCGAGGCCAGAGCCTCCCATCTACATGTACACAGAACCTCTCCGCCACGTGGTGAGGGGAGTGCTAAGACCGTCTTCTTCCCTGACAGCAAGAAACTGACACTCAGAGAGGTTAGGAAACTTCACCAAGGTCACCGAGCTAGGAAGTGGTGAAACAGGGTTTGAACTTGACACGGCCTGCCTCCCTCAGCATTAGTTCCTCAATTGCGAGACCGAAACGATGATAGTTTGGATGGCTTGGAGCACTTACTCGGTGCCGTGCGTCAGGCCAGGCCCTTGACGGGTACGAGCTCGTATCAATCTTGGCCTGGGCTGCACGAGGCAGGTGCTATGCCTGCCCATCTTATGCGTGAAGAGCGAGGTTAAGCAAGTTATGCAAGGTCACAGAGCTAGTCACGTACAAAACGAGGTTTCAGACCCAGGTGGTCCGGCCCTGGAGCCCATGGTCTTGAACCACACTGCTCCGCTGGGGAGGCTCAGCAGTGGGTACAAGGCACAGAGCCCGGCACGCAGACAGGACTTCGTAAGTTGTTAGACCTTTGAAAAGCGTGTAGCGATAAGGACGTCTTTCCTTTTCTGCACCATACTGAGGGCTGGCGCCTGAGAATCCGCTGCTCCTCTGTGTCCTTCTCCTCCTGTGGGTCCCACTCGCCAGAGGAGAAGCTGCCGAGGACCGTTTTACCCCCGTCCCCTCCCCCCCATGGAAAAATCCTCTGCCGCATCCACAGGCCACGGGGCTGCTGCCTGCAGGGCTGGCTAGAGCAGCGTTTGGCCAGGTTATCGGGTTTCGTGGTCAACCACCTTCGCCCCGGACCAGAGCCGTCTTTCCAAAACAGAACGTTTAGTCACCGCCTGTCCCTGCGCTCAGCTGTCCCTGTGCCCCTGACCTCGCTTCCTGCCCACCCGCCCCGGGTTTTTCCCAGTATCCTTGTCTCTTACTGACATCTGGCGAAGATGCCCAGAGCCGCGGAAGAGAGTCAGAGACAGAGCAACTGAGAGGCAGAGAGAGAGAGGGGGACAGGGAGAGGCTCCGAGAGGCTGTCGGACTCCGACAAAGACGGAGAGAGGCAGGCGACGAGAAGACCGAAAGAGGAGACAGCCAGACAGAGAGGCTCCGGGAGGCGGAGGGAGCCTTATGATACTCCCTGCCCTCCGGGGCTCCTCCAAGGGCGGTGTCCACACCCTTGGGCCTCCTTCCCATGGGTCTTGACCTTCTCCCAAGGCTACAGCACCTTCTCCCACCACTCCTTCCCCAGCCCAGCAGAAAATCGGAATACCCCACCTGTCCCCGCCCCATTTCTACGCACAGTTCCTCACCTGACTCCTGCTCATCCCCTTCCTCCAGGAAGCCCTCCCTGCTTCCACAGCCCCTCTCCAAACCCCAGCTGCATTTATCACACTGTACTGTTGATTGTTTACAGATTCGTCGCCTCCCCTGGAATGTCAGCTCCGTGAGGGCAGGGGCTGGGTCTGTCTTGCTCACCCCACATCCCTGTACCCAGCCCAGTGCCTGACACTGTGCTCAGTACTCCTTGGCTGAGTGAAGCGTTAGACCAGTTGTTTATGCGCCCCCTGAGAGAAGCCTTCCTTGGCAGTGCTTACCGCAGTCGGTTTCATTGTGTGATTATGTGATTCTGTATCCCCTCTGCTCCGAGGAAGGCAGAGTCTGTACCTATTATGTTCACCCTTGCTTTCCCAGTGCCTGGAACAGTGCCTGGAACAGAGTAGGTGCTCAGATATTGGTTGAATGAATGAATAAGCAAATGAGTTCATCGCTAGCCATCTGGAGGTTTGTTTGTTTTTTAAGATTTTATTAACTTATTTTTAGAGAAGGAAGGGGAGGAGAAAAAGAGAGAGAGAGAGAGAGAAACATCAATGTGTGGTTGCTGGGGGTCATGGCCTGCAACCCAGGCATGTGCTCTGACTGGGAATCGAACCTGTGACACTTTGGTTCACAGCCCACGCTCAATCCACTGAGCTATGCCAGCCGGGGGGGCGGACATCTGGAGGTTTTGACTCTTATGTTTTCATGTACTTGAACCCAGCTCAAAGGCTCCCCATTCGAATCAAACCAGGGTCCTTCCCAAAGCCTCTGGGGGACATCTCTAGCCAAGCCCCTGCCTGCCTCGCTGCCCCCTCCCACTGGCCCTGGTGTCTCCGTTCCCCAGGATGCTCCGCGTGATAGACACCCTCAGCTAGCCCCCTGCTCCCCACCAGAAGTCTGTCAGCAGCGTTGATTTTTTTTTTCTTCTGCGAACAGGACTGCCTGGAAAAGTGGAGCACATTCGTACAAACAACCTCAATGTCACCAGTGGACCTTGGTCACTGCGGGACCATCTCCAAGGTTCGGCCAGCCAGCTGCCCAGGGCCTTGCCTTGAGACAGGGTGTGAGTTCGAGCTTCAAAAGGG